TATCCCTTGTTCCATGTTCCAGGAGGCTTAGGTGTAGAGGTTGCATCCTAGATGTGCCACTTAGGCTTGGGCAATTCACAGACAATCTCTGTATGTGACTAGTTGTGGAAGTCTATTAATTGTCTCTCTCTCTCTTGAAAAGGAAGCTTCTTTGATAGATGGTGCCTGGAATACTTGTCTATAAATTTAAGGATCCATATTTTTCACATAGTCCAATTAGGTAGCTGTTGATTGCCCCCATGATAAAAAATTTTTTAACTTTTTGAATTCTTAAGTTTCATACACTATACTTTTATTGTATTTAGAATCCTTCCCCTATTTAAATTGCCCTTAGTACCTCCCACCCATGCTTTTCTCCCACTGTGTAAATGACAGAAGTTGCAGATGTCTGATCTCAGTAGGGAATGCCTAGTAAGGGATATGAAGCACCAGGCAGACACCAGATCCAGTTATCATGATACCTAGAAATGATCCTACATATGTGATGTCACATGTATTAAAGGAGCCCTTGAATCACTACATTTTAAGAACTGGGCACAGCTGGAGAGATGGCTCAGCAGTTAAGAACACTGGTTGTTCTTGCAAAAGACCTAGGTTCGAGTCCCAGCACCTATGTGGCATCTAACAACTGTCTGTAATTGCAGTCCCAGAGGATCCAACAGCCTCTTCTGACCTCTGCAGGCATTGCATGACACAGGTTCCTTACTACATGCAGGCAATACACGCATACACATAAAATAAAAATAATAAAAAAAATTTTAAGTTAAAAAAAAAACTGGGCACAAAATATTCTGGATGCAATGGTTTTCAAAGCTTTGTAAGACATGTTTCATTTAATACCAGTCTTTTTGTTGAACAAGAGGAATGGACTTTCATCCATACAGTTTTCAAATAACTCATCATAAGTTCTGTACCCCAATCAATCTATTTGTAATACCTATCAAAGTCAGTTCTAGTGTGAAAATGTGTCATTTCAGAGTGTTTAGGGATCCTTTATTTCACTCTCAGATTTGGAACTCACCAGTACACATGAGTCACAGAAAGGACAGTGTAAAGCAGCATTACTTAACATTTTCAGTAAGAGCCAACTTACTGTGGTTTTTATTTTCTTTTTAATTTCTTTTATTAATTTCATTCATGAACATGTTTTCATCAATTCCACCACCACTCCCCTCCACGCCAACTCTTACCATATCTCCCCACATTTTTCTCCCAATTTCATATACTCTTATTCAAACTCACTGAGTCCACATAGTGATGCCAGTAATGTGCATAGCTAGGCTGTTTTTAAATAATGAGCTCCCTCAACCTATGTTCATGAATTGGCATAAGCACTAGAGTACAAAATGAATATCAAAAGTACTAAGATACAAAATGAATATGGGGGAAGGTCTTTCAAAATGCTAACCAAAGGGGACTGGAGGTATGGATCGGTGCTTAAGAGCACTGGCTGCTCTTATTGAGAACCCAAGTTTGGTTCCCAGTACCCACATAGTGGCTAACAACAGTCCGTAACTCCAGTTCAGGGGAATCTGATGCCTTCTTCTGATTTCCATGGGCACTACATGACACAACACAGGTACACTTACACATGTGCGGGGAATACACTCATGCACATAAAAATAAAATAAAATAAAATAAAATAAAATAAAATAAATGCTAACCAAAGGATGAATTCTTTATGTTGGGTGGTCATCATTTTAACCCTCAGCTCCAGGGAATAAAAAGATGCAAAGTTTTTTAACACAGGCTGCCTTAGCATATAAAGAGTGATTAGAATATGTGTCCTGTTTTGTTGTCTTAAGATCTTAAAATGGATAATCATATCCCGTACTTCAAGCAAATGCCAACTGTGCTGCATATGGCTGGAGAAAGATAATTTTACTGTGCAATGAATTGAAAGTAACCACTGACATCCCACAATGCCTGCATCCAGTAAACACCAAAGCATTTTCCACACAGTACTGCATTTTAAAATAGCTAACTTTATTGTCAGTGAGAAGATAGGCACGAAGTAGATTTGAACCTGCTTAACTTTATTTGATCTATCTGTTGATTACAAAATAGGATCACAATCATTATGAGACCACAAAAATTAAACCAAAAGTGATTTTTCTCTAACCATCTCCTAACCCCAGCTATTCATTTTACAAACACATGCCAGTGATCACAAGGTAGCTCAGAAGGACGTTTGAAAAGATCCTCATACCCACCCTTGCTATCAGAAAAAAATTAACAACCTGACACTTGTCCTGCTGATGATTGATGACACTTAGAAGATATATTTCTAAATATTGTGGCGAGCAGAAATTAGTGACAATGAGGTCACAGGTGATGCCTCTCCAAACATTTTCTGTAAAAAGGAACACATTATAAGTACTATATTCCATAGATGCATGAGCATTTGAGATAACAGGAGTTTATGGTTAACAGACATGAGAAGATAATTTATTAAAGTTCGCACATACGTCTACACTTTAAGCTGCCACATTATTTACACTTTTCACAAAAAGTAGCTTGCAAATCAGTTTGTTAGACCCACTCAACAGTATAACAACACAAAGAGAACATGACAGGGCTCTTGATATATTTTGTGGCACAGATGATGACAGATGTTTCAAGTTCCTAATGCCCTGTCACCCTGAAGCTCAAAAGCAGCACTGAAATGAAATCCTTCATTAAGACAATAATCATGATTCATGATTGTCAAAGAAAGCTCTAGCTGCTCTTACTTTCCAAACCATGTTAATAAGCGTTTTATATCAAGTAGAGTTCATTCAAATGAAATTTTCCTCTACATGGCAGGCTGGGGTACAAGGAAAACTCCTCAAAGACCACCATGCAGTATAAATTAAGACAACAAATTTTCCCTCCTGTTCTTAGGTGCCAACAAAATACATAGATAGGAGGGAGGCCAGAATGAATGTTTGAACATTATATCCACACAACTACGAAAAGTTGGCTAACTTGAGATTTCTTCCATGAACCTGAAAAGGTAGAATTTGTATTCTCCATAAACAGGTGACACCCGCACTTTTCTTTCACCTCTTAGTTGTACAATGTTCTTCTAGCCAATTACTTAGGACTGAAAGCTGAATAGAAGGAGTGCCTCTGGTTTGAGAGGGCAAAGACATTCCGGAAAGTTCAAAATAGCACATCAGCAAGGACTTCCTTCTTTTCTCAAAACAAATAATTCTAAAGAAATGGTTGCCACACAATGAGGAATGTATGATGTCTGTCACCTTACAGAATATGATTGCAATCATGGTTCCCAGACCCTTCCAAAATTCTACCAATGTTTGATCATCACAAAAGGTTATCAAAAGTTTATTTTCATTTTCATGCATTTGCTTGGATAGAAAGTAGGTCTCCTGGCATTTGCTGCTTGCTGCTTCTGTGATGAGAGGGCTTTTATTCCCCTTGCAAATAAAGTGTAGTGTAAATGAGTATTAACACGATGGCAATTTTAATTTCTGTTTGCCATTCCCTATTCATTTTATAACAGAGAACTCATGTGTTGGATGATCATGTCAGTAATAAAAAACTAACTGAAATTTGTATTTCCTTCCCTCATCTATGCATACGCAGAGAGAGAGAGAGAGAGAGAGAGAGAGAGAGAGAGAGAGAGAGATACACACATGGATATGGACACACAAATGGACACAGACACACACACAGACACAGACACACAGACACACACCCACACACAAAAAAAATACATTGGAAGATAATTAGGAACTACAAAAGAATACAGGAAAAGACACCACTCTTACACTCACAAAGGAACCCATAAAATGATTTCTTAAGGATGCATTTCATGTGGCTCAACGATGAAATTGGGATCAGGAAAGAAAAACCCTGTAAAAGGCACTACAGGAGAGACAAGATAAGAATTAAGAAACCTGGGCAATCTACTCAAACCAAGGACATTTTACAAAGTATATATGAATACCCTGGACCATGATGATGCCTTTCTTCAAACAGGTTCATTTTTTTTTTTAGATGAGCATTTCCCAAAACTAGCATGGTAACTGGCAGAGTGAATAGATGTGCTGTTTGATCTTGAAAAAGTCATCAAACCTTCCCAAGTTTCAAAATCCTCATTACTAAAATTAGAAGGTACAGCTATATTGCTAAAGTTCCTTTGCATCACTATAGCTCATGGCGTAATATATAGGCTACCCTTCTATTAATCTGGTTTCTAACTAACACATTACTAAACCTCTACCCCATTTAACATAATACAACCACTCCCTTGACCTTCCCTATACCTCTGAAAATTGATCTTAATGATAGTATCTGCAAATTCACCACCTTAACAAAGGGCAGAGGTGGCAAAGGGCAAGGGTCTGTGGCAAGGGACACCCTTTGTGTCCTTGGAGGCGGCCTTATGACAAAGCTCAGTGCTGCAGCATCCTTTAGTCCCTGCCCATGTGCACATTCCTGGCTGCTTTCCAAGGGTATTCGAAGATGGAGTCACTGGCAGTGAGAAGAGGTACATAGGGAGATTGCTGCAAACAACCTCTCCCCTGACTGCAGCCTAGTACTTTGGACTTCTGATGTTATTCCATTGGAGGTGACAATCGCATATGTCTTTGAAGACATATGCTAAGAATTTAGGAAATCAAAAGGAAATATTTCAAAATATTTGCCAGAAATTCAAAGCATTCAACCTGTCAACAAAGATGCTTGCTCATTTGGCAAATTACTGGCAAATGAAGACTGGTGGTGCAGCCAGTGACTGTGTTGTGGAAGAAACAAACAATAGGTGAACTGGTTTAATGATATATGACTGAGCCATGTTCACGGCTATCTTCAGAACACAAAAGTCTGCATGAAGCATCTACAGAAAACTTCCATCAAGTCTTCTAACATCTAACTCCCTATGAAAAAGGAAGTCATGCACCACTCTGCTCATTTACCCCACTACTGTCTGAAAGCAATATATT